CACCTTACTGGTTTGCAACACATTATTGATAAGCAGAAGAAACAGCGTAGGTGATATCGCGTAGCTTTGTGGAACACCAGCATAAATAGGCTTGTAAATGGAGCATGCATCTTCTACTACGACTTTGTTGTTCCAATCTGCAAGAAAACTACATATCTTACCAGGTCGTCACTCCCATCTAGTCTAGCCCACCCGTGCGACAGCTAAAGCTGCCGTGTGGCTGTTCCACTGTTATGTTGTCTTCCTATATTATTAACTGTAATCTATTTCGTCATTGATTATGTGTTACACATAATACTTAGTAGTTAATAGATTTGCTTTATCATGCCCTGCAGTGGGCGACAAGGAGCTGACGATGAAGTAGTTTTGCACCTTTAAAGTATTTAGTTTACTTTAAATAGAGCCCCAATTTCATTTTTGCCCCGGGGCCCTAGGTTACATAGCTACGCCACTGTCTCGAACACCACAAATGTGAAAAAATAAAATTGTACGTGAATGATACGATCTGAACAATCTATAAATCTTGGAATAGATTATTTTTTCAGCCGTTACAAGGATTTTAATAAAGATAGTGTTTAATCGCGTTTTTCAATAATACTTCCTGACAATTTTATCGCCTTTGTTGAATTGCTTCGCGAATATTTTGACGTTGAAAGAAACATTGTAAATATTTGTAGTGAAATATTAAAACGTCTCAGACAATTCATCTGAGTAAAACGTGTGCAAGATTTTATATTTGTTATGAAATGCGAGTGCTTTCCAATAGCTTAATAAAAAAAAACTTTACATTAAATATAGAATTTACTATTTATTTAAAAGCCACAATTAATTGTTGAAGAACAATAATTATATAAGTAAAATATTTAGAATGCGTATTTTATAAAAAAAAATGTTATGTCTTAAGTATATATCAGAATGCTGATAAACAATTTGTTTATTTAATTTTATCCTCCTGTGCTAACCCTACCTACAGCTTGCAATTGAGCTTAGAAGCATGGAGTATAGAGTAGTCTACTCTATACTCCATGCTTAGAAGGGATGCTGAGAGGCGAGGGGGGATGTTAGCTGTCATATATCATCTTGCTATGACGTTTCCCATGTCCAGTATTTTCTTTATGAAGATTACTGCCCGTGGTAGTGTATGCCTATATATTTAAATCTCTTTGTGTACTACGTACTAGATTGCGCATTCCGAACATACACTATGTTCAACTGAACTGTACTGCAATCCGTACAGTGTGTCATTTAGTGTGGTTTCAATTTTGGAGTGTAGAGTACAAGGAGAACCATCTTATAAGGGGCAAAAATTGAAAAAGTGTCCCACTATTTACTGAAAATAGAGGTTCCAAAACCTACCACAATAGCGCTGGCGTCTGAAAAACTACGACATGAAGATAGCTGTTGTGAACGGAGTGAAGTCAGCTGAATTCGAATATTTAAAAAAAATCATGACTAGAGTAGTTAGTAAAATGCCAGTATACAAAATCTCAACCATTTACGTAGTACAAAACCAAGCGGATTGGTCGGTCCTTGTTTATTTCTCCATCTTATACTAATTACTTTTGGCGCTTTTTTTTAAATTTATCCTAAGCTACTGCAGAGCCCTTATTGGACACGTTTTTAGGGACACTTTTCATATATAGTGATGGTCCTCCTTCTCTCTACACTCCATATTTACTCATGTGCTTGTACCACAGAATAAATAATAGTACTATGTACTTACTTGTACTTTTTTATACTCTTTTCTGCACAGAGTACTTTTTGTAAATCGGATCTGAGGGAACAGGTGAACATACATACATACATACGTACCCTTTTGACTTTGCCGTAGTCGTGTAAAGTATGTATGTAGATAAGTATCGGTATATTGTTAGAAAATGAATAAAATAGCACGTATAATATGTATTTTATACTTCGCAAGTGTGCGCATGTGTATTATCTTTTATCTCTTTGAAGAAGTTTCACTGCTACACTGTATATTTTATGAGTAAGAGTTCGTAACAACACTTTTAAAATATACAGTACGAAAAGTGTACATAAGTAAAAGCAATTTTTATTATTTTCAGATTTTCATCATCATCATTACAGCCTTTCATAAATTCACTCCTGAACATAGGCCTCCCCCAAGGAATGCCACAAAGCACGGTCCTGAGCCACCTGCATCCATCGACTTCCTGCATGTCTTACCAGGTCGTCACTACATCTCGTGGGGGTCGCCCTACACTTCGCCTACCGGTACGAGGCTGCCACTCAAGAACCTTTCTTCCCCATCGGTTGTCGGTTCTTCGAACTTCGGTTGTCGGTGGCCGGCCCACTGTCACTTCAGCTTACTAATCCGTTGGGCTATGTCGGTTACTTTGGTTCTACTGCGGATATCCTCATTCCTATGTTTATCACGCAGAGAAACTCCGGGCATAGCCCTCTCCATAGCTCGCTGAGCGACCTTGAGCTTCCTCATACGGCCAGCAGTGAAGGACCACGTCTCAGTTCCGTAAGTCATCACTGGCAACACGCACTGGTTGTACAATTTCGTTTTAAGGTTTTGAGGTATGTCTACGAGAAGATGTGTCGTAGCTTCCCGAACGCTGCCCAGCCGAGTTGAATCCGTCGATTGACCTCTCGGTCAAAGTTGGACTTACCTAGTCGGACTATTTGTCCCAGGTAAACATACTCGTCAACAACTTCGACCTTAGTGCTCCCAACAACTACCGGCATAGGTGTGACATGGACATTAAACATAATCTTTGTTTTGTCCATGTTCATCTTAAGACCTATCCGTTGGGAGACACTATTGAGGTCATTGAGCATAGTGCTTAGGTCCTCCAGCGATTCTGCCATAAGGATTATATCGTCGGCAAATCGAAGGTGAGTGATGTACTCGCCATTGATGTTAATACCGTATCTTTTCCAGTCTAGAAGCTTGAAAACGTCTTCCAATGCAGCGGTGAAGAGTTTCGGGGATATAACATCACCCTGTCTTACACCTCTCTGCAATTGGATAGGTTTCGTACTCTGGTTCTGTACTCGGATAGTCATCGTAGCTCTACTGTACAAACACTTCAGCACTTCGATATACCGACAGTCAACTTGGCACCGCTGAAGGGACTGCAGCACCGCCCAAATTTCGACGGAATCAAAGGCTTTCTCATAGTCCACATACGCCAGACATATTGGCAAATTGTACTCTTCGGACTTCTGTACAATTTGCCGAAGGGTATGTATGTGGTCTATGGTGCTAAAGCCCTTTCGGAAACCGGCTAGTTCGGGAGGCTGGAAGTCGTCAAGTCTGCGCGAGAGACGATTCCTAATGACTCTCCAAAACAGCACACAGTAGACGCGACTCAGAAGGGAAATCGGTCTGTAGTTCTTCAAGAGAGCGTTGTCACCTTTCTTGAAGAACAAGACCACCGCACTTCTGCTCCACGCCTCCAGTGTAATGCCACCATGGAGGACGGAATTAAAGAGCTTCTGAAGTACTTCAAGTACCGGTCTTCCACCCGCTTTCAGTAGCTCCGCTGTAATTCCATCCTCGCCTGGGGCCTTGCCGTTTTTAAGGTGCTGGAGAGCCATTCTAATCTCGTTCAGACTGACGTCCGCGATATCTTCGGAATAGTGTCGGATAAGACTCGCTCTTGGATCGTTACTCACACTTGCGTGTGGCTCCAACGATGACGTGTACAACTGCCCATAAAACCTCTCAATCTCACTCAAAATCTCAGGTGTCCCGGAAACGATACTGCCACATTCGGTCTTCAGCTTTGACAGTTGGCTCTTTTTGGCACACAGATCTCTGGCAAAGACTTTGGAGCCTTGGTTCCGCTCAATCGCTTCTTCAACACAAGCTGCATTGCAGTTGCGTAAGTCCCGCCGCATGCATTTGGAGATCTGTCTGTTCAGTTGCCTGTATGCTGTCAAATCTGTTAAAGAATGTAGCTTCATCTCCCGTCTAACAGCCATAAGATTAAGAGTGTGATCGGAGAGTTTTTGTGTTCTTCTGCGGCGGGTCTTGCAGAACTTAGCTCCGACCACATGGGCAGTTTCCACGAGCTTGTCATTCATATCGTCCACTTCATTGCAGTCTTCTAGGCACTGAAAACGGTTTTGTAACTCGAGCTGAAAGGTTTCGGGACTTTGGAACAGAGCACGAGGGGGACGGTGCGTTGACTTCTTTAGACGAGACCTCTCCAACTTAACGTTTAGATTCAGTGTGCCTCTAACCATTCGGTGATCACTACCAGTTTTCACCCTCGCGATCACGGAGACATCACTGAACAGTTGTCATCTGGTCGTCGGTCGTGAAGATTTTAACTTATGTCATTTAAAAAAGTAAAGTTGGGAAAGGGAGGTGCCCTTCCCCAACTGGGGAAGGGCACAGTGGGGTAGAGTATACATTGCTACTTTAAAGCTTGATATTTCTTACAGTAAGCTACTTAACACATATTCTAACTTGGGAAAGTTTAGGTTTAGGTTACATTTGGATCAAAAAAAAGGAATTTTTTTAAATCTAATTTTCCACACTGTGATCGAAAATTATTGTAATGATTTTATACTTAAAGTGGTGAATTAATTAAAAAAGTGATTCGTGTGTATTATTAAGTTTGTATAATAGTTTGATAACTAAAGCCCTGTACCTAATGGTGGTAATCACTTCTTCGTTTCAATATACCTACTCAATATAAGCATTTGTTAAAATGTATTCCAGGTAGCCTGTTCAAAACTCCTGTTAGACGACTTAGTTGCGTAAAATTATGTTTAGTCGGTAGTGCGATAGTAAAAATGACATGAATATAAACCGTGAGATAAGGCGTCTTCACAGCGTATTCTCAGGTGTCTCAGCGGTTTAGTGTGAACATAAAATAGCAACTATATTGTAAATCTATATTTTATCAGAAATAGAAACGGAAACTTTTTATTAAACAAAGATTATAAATAATACTTATTGAAAGTCACTCTTTTGTTTAATTTGCCATAATATGGTTTTGTTTAATACCATCACAATATTATAACACAAAATTACCATTCATGATAGTGATATTGCGCCAACGAACATAGAATATATACGGGCGGTTAACTACTAACTCTAATTCAGGAGTCTCGTCCCATTCCATACCTAGAAACAAAGAAGAGGGTTAGGGTTATTTTTTTATGTATGTATGTATAAGTATTAAAATCAACAAGGAAGCATAAGTACAGATTGATTATGTTGATGAATTCTGTTATTTATACAATAACAAATAACAATACATATTACGGTAACATGTTTTATACCATACGATACCATAGATACTATAGATAAGCTAATATAATCGGGAGTAAGGTACTACAAATGAGTTTCGTTCAATCTACCACAATCGTTTTTTCGTGAAGTTCTTTCATGTCAAGTTGTCAAATATCAACCCTAAGGGTATTAGTGTTCTGTGATGTCAACTTTTTCGTTTTTTTTTTAATAAAATACGTTTTTTTTGGGCTGGGTATAAACGTCCGGTACTTGATTTTAATTATGTTTTCAGTTTAGGAGGCTTGTTAGGGTTAAGCTTGAACCTTTTACACTATTTTTGGATGTCGGAAATGCGTTTTGAATTAATTACGATAAAAATAAATTTCACTAATAATTGCGTATAACGAAACGCAAATATTTTAATTTGGTCTAGTATTATGAAGTAGGCGTCCGGTACTTGATTTTAATTATGTTTTCAGTTTAGGAGGATTTTTAGGGTTCACTAACTAAAAATTGCATGTAACGAAACGGGTCACCCATAAAAAAGATTATTACTCAGACCCAGTTAATATGTTTGATTTCTAACTATCAAGTTATCAAGACTTGCTTGTCAATATGTCAAGTCGTTAAAAGTGAACGTCTAAGTTTTGTTACAAAAATAGGATTATATTACGTTTTAATTTCTTACTTTGCTTGAATTCTAATTTAATTGAATAAAACTATTTTTACGGATTTTACCGCGTTTAATTAACTTATTTTATATTCCCGACGTTTCGGTTGCTTTCCAGCAACCGTGGTCATCCAGTCCCCCGTGAAACGTCGGGAATATAATTATTCAATGTGTAGTGTTCGCGTAAATATAAGAAATCATTATCTAATTTAATTGATTCATAATAACACTTGTTTTGACTATTTCTTTGCTACCTACGATGGACTGTCTTGCTAAAGTTTGGATTTATTTTAAATTATCAACCAATTTGTGGGAAGTAACTCCGTCAAATTATACAAGTAAAGAACCATCGATATACATGTACTACCAAAGACATTTAAGTAGTGTACACAGACTAACTAGTAGATTCTACTTGAATCAGACGGACATCTCACGAATTAAACTTACTCGACTTAGCTTCTGCGTCCTGATTGGTTGTAGCAAAATGATTTATGACATTTCTTTTTTTTTAATTTGAAGCAGCCATTCCATGCAAAGGACGTCCCAAATTATAGCCACTTGAAAAATTAATTTTATTATATTGAGAATAAAACGAGGTAAATACAAATGAAACAATGTTGAAATTTACTATTTTTTTTATTAGTTATTAATATTTACTTTACAATAATTTCGTTTACAAATTTAATAATTAACTTATTAATATATACGTTATTAAAAAACTATAATAACTTAATTATTATTATACAGTCCTCATTTAAATTTTACAATAATTTTGTTTACAAATTTAATAATTATTAATCACTTAATATATTATACAATATTTAAAAAAACTATAATTAAACAAACTAAAACTAATAATTTTCATAAAGTCCTTATTTTACTTTACAATAATATTGTTTTAGAATTAATGGATAAGTATCAATATAAGATTCACCAGTTTCACCACTTTCATTACTCACTTCCCTTTCATGTCCTTTAAACAGGCTCATAATTTTTAATAATTGTGCACTAACATCATCATCACAATTAAAAGATGAGCGGTAAAACATAATGAATCCTGTAATTAATAAAGATTTAAAAGCATTTATGAAATAGTGGCAAGTCGGGTTATGGTCCCTAAAATTGTATGATCTGATTTGACCGAAAAAGTGTTCAATTGCATCCGAATTTATATAGCGGGGTCTCATAATTTTCATGTTTTTCTTGGACAAAAACTGCCAAAATTGTTAAATCTTTCACACTTCTTTTATTATTTATCACAGCATTTCTATTCACACTGTCAAATAGGTCATCCATGAAAGATAATATTTCTGCAGTATTTTTCTGTTTTGCTCACTAGCCGCACATCTGACTAATGAGCTGTAATATATATATATTTGAAATATTATTAAATGAAATATCATTATGTACTCTATACAGTGTTTTTAAGTTACTGCTGTGCTGTGCTGTGGCCAACAGACACCTACTATTAACCCTCAATTAAGTATCATTGTATGCATTGTCATCCTTGAAGATAAAAAATTGTTATCCTTGTTACCAGTAAAAAGGTATCTGGTTCTCATCTGGTAAATGGCTAGCCATGGAATCAAATTAAACAGTTCAGTTTTATGGTGCTATGTATTAATATATTTCATAAAATAATTAATATGATAACTTACAAAATGTAGAGGTATAATTAAAGGGTCCTTCCACGGTTTTACTAAATACAGGAACATAATTCTCAACCTGTAAATAATTCATAACTATTTGATTAGGAAAACGTGTATTACACATACAAAAATTAAATTATATGTAATTGAAATAAAATTACAATTATTTTATACCTTAATTTTCTTTTCCAGGAATAACATGTTTGTCGTTGAGTTTGTGTAATAACCGTGTTTCTGTATGTTCACAGTCTTTGTTATGTGTCCATGTAGAAATCTTTTCTTGGTATTGTACATTTTTTGTTAAAAATTGTATCGCATTCCTTTGATTAAATGTGGTGGATCAAGTATATCACTCAGTGCTCAGTGACAATGACAAAACAAACAAAAACAATATGGCTGCGACAGCTTGCAATTGAGCTTAGAAGCATGGAGTATAGAGTAGTCTACTCTATACTCCATGCTTAGAAGGGATGCTGAGAGGCGAGGGGGGATGTTAGCTGTCATATATCATCTTGCTATGACGTTTCCCATGTCCAGTATTTTCTTTATGAAGATTACTGCCCGTGGTAGTGTATGCCTATATATTTAAATCTCTTTGTGTACTACGTACTAGATTGCGCATTCCGAACATACACTATGTTCAACTGAACTGTACTGCAATCCGTACAGTGTGTCATTTAGTGTGGTTTCAATTTTGGAGTGTAGAGTACAAGGAGAACCATCTTATAAGGGGCAAAAATTGAAAAAGTGTCCCACTATTTACTGAAAATAGAAGTTCCAAAATCTACCACAATAGCGCTGGCGTCTGAAAAACTACGATATGAATATAGCTGTTGTGAACGGAGTGAAGTCAGCTGAATTCAAATATTTAAAAAATTTCATGACTAGAGTAGTTAGTAAAATGCCAGTATACAAAATCTCAATTATTTACGTAGTACAAAACCAAGCGGATTGGTCGGTCCTTGTTTATTTCTTCATCTTATTCTAATTACTTTTGGCGCTTTTTTTTAAATTTATCCTAGGCTACTGCAGCGCCACCCTTATTGGACACGTTTTTAGGGACACTTTTCATATATAGAGATGGTCCTCCTTCTACTCTACACTCCATAGTTTCAATCTACTAGTTAGTCTGTGGTTTCAATATTCATGCAGTGTGGAGCGGCGCAAATAATACAAGATTTCAAATTAAAGTTTAAACCTGGACGTAAATTACAATTCAGTAGTCAAGTAAGTAAAATTATTTTTTGTTCAAGTGAATAAATAGGTAATAATATCGTAATATTACAAAAGAAAAAAATCATGAAAAAATATATTTGTTTATATAAACTGACCGCGCAGGCGCAACGCGCTTAGATCAAGCGCGCATGCGTGACTTTACTAACTCCCGCGCATGCGCGAAATCAGAGTAGTGCACATTTTTTGTTTAGAAAGGCTTCTCTAGTACGTAGTACATATAACTCAAAGTAAAGAACAGTTTTTTACGCTACGATACAAACAATTACTGTTTTAAATCAACAGCTTTTCTCTTAGTCGTAGGATCATAATATACTCGTACCAACATCGAAGTCTTTACTATTTTTAGTTGTTGGCCGTCTCAGGGGCTAAGCGCTCGCTGTATATTTCACAGTACGCGAGCAAACCGGATTCCATCCCCGCTGACACTTTAACTTGGTTCTTATAAGTTATGTACGATCGCCAATTTTTAAAAGGTACAGTTTCCAGTCATCTGATGTAACCCTATGATTCTCAACAAAGCATAGCAAAGAGTGATAAAAAAAATGCGGCCGGTGTGGATTTCAGTATCAACATGCTTTCGCACAGTTACCTCTACGCGATTCTATCGCGTATTAGCAATTCAAGATCCTCGACAGTAGTACATCCAATATTGTTTGTAAGGAATAACAACTAATGAATAAATGGACGTAGTAAAATGAAAATAATGCAATCCTCAAAACCAGCAAAATTGAGTTAAATAAACCAAAGAGATCTTAAAACTGCCCATCTACTGATTTGTTTCGCTCTGTCTTACACCGCAACAACACAGTGAAATGTTACATCCTAAGGTTGAATAAAAATACAAAACGCTGTCCTTAAAATCCAATAATGTTAACTGATTTACAGCACTGCATTAATGATGAATAACGATGTAAACTTTAAACTTAATTATCTCAAAACTAGATTCTTTTAGTTTAACTACGTCCAAATTTACAAACAGTAAACTTTCTTTGCTCAAATCCTACCTACAATCTAAAAGACATATGTCGAGTAATTTGTCAGATTCAGTTTTAATTAGAAGTTACTATTTTTTTTTCTTTTACTTTATGTGCCGGACGGGCGTAACTCTCCGGAGTAAATGTTGTCGAAGATACTCCGCGAGCCGCTCACGTCCTACACCTATAGGTTCCGGAGGATACTTTCACTACCGCCTTTGTGTATGCTGTTGGAGAACTGTGGACTGAGGTTCAGAATTAAAAATGCACGATTTATAAATTAAAACAGCAAGGGAGTGGCCAGCGGTTCGACTGATTAATTAGTTGCGAAATATTATAACTATTTATTTATTGAACACGGAT